AAAAAAAAAAAAAAAAAGGTTTGCTTTTAATTTTGAAATTCTCCAGGGGTGCGAAGTTCCTGCAGGGACCAGAGGCTGGCTGGGAAGGGAAGGCAGCTCCCTTCATTAACAGAGGGTGTGGCAGGTGCAAAGCAGGAAGTGCTGAGTCATCATGTTCCTACCTCATACAAAGGAGCCCAGACACCATTTCCTGTTGTTTTTCACATGGCTGGCCTTTCCCTGTGAGCCCTCAAGGCTTCTGGCCTTGCTGTTTGTTCAGTGTCCTGTTTTAATGACATTTGGTCAGTTCTGAATGCTTTGCGTATGGTGATTCTAGCTGCCCTTGCTCAATTATATTCCAAACTGAGCGTGCACCCCTATTTTTAGCTCTATACCAGTGTCTTTGAATGCCGTGGACCTGTGAACTTGGCTCGATAAGATCATGCCCTGGCTGGCCTCTTAGTTCATGATGATGTGAGATTTCCTCTTGTAGCTCTGGCTTACATCCAAATTACACTAAGTTCTATGAAATGTTAGACAAAGAAAGTTGTTCAAAAGAATTTTAGACCAGGCATGGACAGTGTTAATTCTTTCTCAAGTTTCAGTTTCTTAGCTTCATTTTCTTCTGGCATTTCTGTTTGTTTGAGGACAAGGTATAGGAGAGCTTTCATTATGAAAACTCTCAACACAAAAATACAACCCTAATCTCAGAAGGGATAAGAGATCATTTATCCTGGAGCCAAATATGAGTGACCATAATAGCCCAGGAACACCGATTCAGATTACCTCAAATTTTATGTTCCAATGAGGTAACAGTTTCATGAAGTTTTTTATAGTAACAGAACAAATAAAGTCATAAATCAAGAACTTTCCAAACACATTGGTGGGAACATCAGGAGGTATGTTGTCAGCAAAGCAAGGAAATCTCTGCTCTGAGTCTCAGATGCTATCTGATGACTATTTTAGCCTTTTGGTTGGTAGAAGCTAGAGGTCCGTTATGTTAATACATTCCAAAATATTTCACCTGTTAGTCATAATGATGTTAGGTTAGACACAGAGGTGGGCAAGGAATGACTATTAAGGGAGCTAGAGATAACCAAAAATACACTTTAATTAGGCTCTGGACCTGCAACATTCCAACCTCTTCACAATCACTGAAGTACTAGTTAGTCAGCCTTGCTGAAGGTTCAGTGTAAGGTGCCCTTCTTTCCAGGAACTTGTTCACAAAACTGAGAGATCTGGCTTCCTCTACCCAAACTAGAGTCAGTCTTAGCCCATGTACACATACCATGACTCTTAAAAACTTGAAAATTCCAGGTTTGGAAAACTACAGAAAAGAAAAAGATAAGTTCCAAATTGTAAACTCTATTCCTGAGGAGTGACAGTTTTGACAAAGAACCCTGTCCATCTTGCCAGCTGTAGGTCTGAGAAGCTGGCAATGCTCAGTATACATAGGTTGTCTGAGACGTGTCCTGGTGGGTGAGAGGATGTTGGTGGAGGGAGGAGGAAAGCGTGTTAGAAGATGATAAAGGAAGTTGGTGATGAGTAATGGCTAAGGATTCATAATGCTTCAGATACAAAGGCCTACTTAGGACATTTAAAATCTGATGAAAGGAATAAAGAAAAAGTTTATCTACTTTTTACTGATGAGAAAATTGACCACAGTGGGTATTTGTAATCCTGAAAATGACATTTGTTATTGACATCAATTTCTAGTCGATATTTTAATTTTAGCTATAATAATGATGATTTTGTGGACTACAGAAATGAAACCTACAACTCCATAGCAAGCTGCACCCCTCATTCTTTGACCAAGCATGTGCATCACTACCACCTGGGGATATTGGATTTAGGAATGTAGATTCTGATATGAGGATATCACCACACACAGAACCAAAGTGTATGTTCTTGTCATTGAGATTGTGATGGTCTCCTATCACTGAAGAGAATTCAATGAAATCACAATAGTGAATTATACAGAGAGGGTCTGTCACATCATATGTGCTTAGAAATGGTGTTGGTCTTATGGTAGGACTTAGTGAGTAAAGAAATGGATCCTGGGATTGGAGAAATGGCCCAGTAGTTAAGAGCAGTGACCGCTCTTGTAGAGGACCTGGGTTCAGTTCCCAGACCCACATGACCTTTCCTAACTCCAGTTCTGGGGATCTAATCCCCTCCTCTGGCCTCCATGGGCACTGTATGCATGTGGTGCACTTAACATACATGAAGGTAAAACTTTTATACACGTAAAAATTTTTTAAAAAGAAAGAATAATATGACTGTAACTCAATCTAAAAATGATAATTTGAAACTTTGATCAAGTCTTCTTGCTTTATTGTAGGAATACAAACTAGCTCTTTTGCAGTGCTATGGAAGATACCTGCAGCAGTTCTCCATCAATTTTGATGAGAATACAGCAGATGTGAACAAGTTCAAAATGGTCTTTTTTCCAAAAGGCTTTGGAAATGAAACTGCTACTCTTACAGTAAGATGAAAGAACCAGCTCAAACAGTCTTGTGATTAGTTATGCAATGTGTGCTTTAGCTAGTATGGAAGTTGTTTGCTACATGCTTTGAGGGCTAGAAAAAGGAGAGAATTTACTAAATTCTGTACCAGTGCTTTGGCGATTGCGTCAATATAAGCACTCCTTCATCAAGCAGGCAGAATTATTATTGTTATTGTAATACTGATACTTGTAGCACGCTTTCAGTTTGCAAAGGGCTTGGAAAACATACTTGATCTGTATAATAACTTTGAGTTAGATACTATTATCACCTTGTTTTACAGGAGAGAAAAATAAAGCTTATTATACAGGTTGTGTGAAAAGGTGGTTCTCTAGCTTTAACGTAGATTGTTGTTACTGTTTCCAGACAGGGTCTCCCTGTAGCCTCAGCTGTCCTGGAACTCTCTGTGTAGACCAGGCTGGCCTCAATCTTAACAGAGATCCACCTGTTTCTGCCTCCCGAATGCTGGGATTAAGGGGATGAATGACCATACGTGGTTCAAACATAGCTCTTTTGTTAGAAAAATTTATGCTATATTTTATTACACTAAGGTTGTTATATTAACTGCTAGCATTAATTACTGTTGCACAGTTATTCCTAGGTGCCCTTCCGAATGCATTGTGTGAATCACTGCCTTCCAGCCTTCTTCCAGTCCTAAGAACTGCTACTATTTTGCTGTTTTATTGATAAAGAAACAAGATTGCTAATGATTATGAAACCAGCCCAGCCCACGCAAAGCAGTGGGTAGGACTCGTGTTTGAACCCTGATCATTCTGACTCCAAATCTGTTAAGCTAAATCTGGTGATTTTTCAAAGCCTTGAGGAAAGTGTGTGATTGGCCAATAAGCAGAGGCTCTCAAGGGATGTTGAGTAATTCGATGTCTGCATGGACAACAATACTGGGCAATGCAGATTGAGGCCCAATGGGAAGAGGACTGAATCCAGGTCTCTTCTAGCCTCCCTGTGTCTAGCTTTCATGCCATTCAGTGCAATTCATCTTTTCACATCATCAAAATTAATTTATAAAGGATAAAAAAACTTAAAAACAATTTGACCTTTGTGCCCTTTGGCTAAAGTCCAGCGATTCTTTGGAATGAGGGACACTCCACATTCTAGCCCTCATCTCTTGTCTTAAACCTTTCAGTCAAAAGACAGCTGGGTGTGGCAGTACACACCTTTAATCCCAGCACTCTGGAGGCAGAGGCAGTCAGATCTTTGTGAGTGCTAGGCCAGCCAGACCTATGTAGTAAGACTTTGTCTCAGAAAAATAAATAAATAATCCCCCAAAACTTACAAAAGATGCTCCATGACCACAGCAGACCCCTTAAGTGTCCCTAATGTTGCCTCTGCCTGAAACTCTTTATCTCTCTCGAGAGCAGGGGTTGTTGCTTCGTCTTCAAATCTTCCTTGCAAGCAGTGGCCCTTAACCAACAGTTGCTGGAAGCATTATATAAGTAATGATGCTCCAATTAAAGTCAATAAATAGGCTAAAATGCTATTGGATGAGTTCACAAAAATTGATAATTAGCAATGGAATTTTTGTACTGTTTTAACCTTGGATTTTCTTTTGCCTATGAAAAGCTAATCTTAACTAAATGAATATTTTAAAGAAGTCTGTCTGACGTTTCTTTGCATACTAGTCTATTAAATGAATTAAACATAAGCATTCACATTTAAGATTTTTTTTTACGTGTTGAGAAATGCTTTCCTGAGTCATATAAACCTTATATATCTTCTTATATTTCCCCATATGTTTCAGTTTCGTGCTTTGAGTGGCAAAAATATTTGCAACTACCAGCTGGTCTGTGACAGTGATGTAAACCTGCAGAATAAGGAGTCTGTGAGCCGCTGTCTGCAGATCTTGTCCTCCCTGAGGTTCATCATGCAGCTGGCTCTGCCACAGGAGCACCTTTGCTGGATCATCTTCAATGGTGTGGACCACTCCATTTTATTTTCCATTGCGTCTTTCATAAAGTTATTTACATGACAAGTCTAATGCTAACTTGACTGTTTTGGGATTTAAAACATATGTATTTCATAATGGGATAATTGTACTGTTAAAAGTTCCTATTACATTTTATTTGAAATATGAGCATAGGCTCCATGGGAAGAGGATTGAATCCTGTCTCTTCTAACCTCCCTGTGTCTAGCTTTCATTCCAGTTCAGTACAATTTATTTTTTCACACTATTGAAATCCATTTCTAAAGGAGAAATAAAAAATTAATTGCCCTTTGTGCCAAAATAGGATGATTATATTTTTGTTAAAAATTCATATTACATATTACATTTAGTTCTCTCTCACAAGTAGAGACATATATAGTCGGTAGATTTTCACCTAAGAAGGATCAGTGGCTGTGGAGTAATCAGTTTTAGATATGTGAAAAGTAGAGACCACAGTTGGCAAGTGGGGAAGGGTAAGATCTAAGTGGGGACAGATCAAGTGGCCACTATGGTAGATTGATTCTAAGCATCATCCATTTTTTTGGTTCTCTCCTTAAAGACCTTGGCCAGTAGTTTTAGTTTTCTACATAGCAACCGCCTCCCTTTGCTTGTCTTTGGTGGATAATACATCCTTTTTCTTCTTGATGGTGTTGAGGGTGGATAACATATCCTAAACCAAAAAAATAATAGTGACAGTCTGTTTGATGTGCATAAGACTAGGAAAAAAAAAAAAAAAGGCAAGCAAAATCTACTGGATTTTTCCCTTATTCCATGGCAGCTAAAAGTTTAGTTCCTTGCCCATCTCGAATCATACTTTACCATTTTGATTGGAAATTATTCTCCAAATTTGGGGCTAGAAATGAGGACGCCTTGGATGGAATTGGGGGTGGGGTGCAGTAACTGGTAAGCACTGTGGCTGATCATCAAGAGCACCCCTGATTCCCTTAGTCAGTGCCATCTTGCCACCTAAATGGCTGAGTGGCAGAGATGGATGGAACAGGAGTAGACCTTCTGTTCTCACTGGCAATGAAAGGCATGGGAAAGGCTGGGCCCTGTAGGTGCTTGAGAGGTAGAAATGGTAGCGTGAATCACTCTCTTCAGACCTTTTAAGATTCAGGCACAAATGGGGTATGGTGACATAAATCTGTAATTCCAGCACTTGGAGGCTGAGGCAGGAAAATGTAGAGTTCAAAACTAGCCTGTGCTACATAGCAGGACCCAGTCTCAAGAAATGAATGAATAAATAAATAATCACATACACACAAACCCCCTAATCCCCGCCCCCCTCCCCGCTGAGAAGCACTCTGTATCTTCTGTGTCCTTTTCTGCTGTGAGCTTTATATTTATACATGTGGTATTGTGTTCTGGACTTGTCTGTTTCCTGAATTTTTCCCAGTTGATGCTATGCTGGTAGCATCTACTCAAGTTCTTGTATGGGAATCTAATTTATTAACTGTGCCTGCTGACTGTATGCCACTATCCCTCTTCACCCTGAGGGAGGAGTCCCTGGTCTCCTATGTCTCTCCTTGTACAAATAGTTCTGCAATACCTATCTTTGTACATGTCCTTTTATAGATTGGAGGAAGAGTTTTCTGGGATCTGTGCCCAGGAGTGGGATTGGCAGGTTGTGGGTGATACATGTACTATACTTCACTAACTAGTGCCCCTGTCTTAACATATTCATCTAAAACTTACTGAATGCCTTCCATGAGCCCAGCATTGTCCCAAGTGCCTGGGAAGCAGGAGAGGACAGCAGATCAATACTCGGTTCTCAGGGTTCTGCATGGTACATGAGATCTAAATAGTGTCATGTGGTGTGATGTGCTGTGGAGAAAAATACAGGTTAAGAGGCATCAGGGAAGGAGAGCAGAGGCAGGGCTAGGAGAGGGCTGGAAATTTACATGAAATGGTCAGGGCAGGGGCTTCACTGAGGTGAAAGGTTAGCAAAGACTAGGAAGAACTTGGCATGTGAACCACCTGGACTGTTTTGTGTGAAAGCTGTTCCACCTTGAGGATCAGCAAGCACACAGGCCCTGGAGTTTTTGGCAATTTAAGTAGTCAAAAAAATATATTTGAAAACTTGTCAAAGAACATTGGACCTTTTCATGCAAACAACTTGCTATATTTACTTTTAATTAACTAGCATGGCACTGGTTACTTAGGATGCTTAGTTAGACTTGGTGCTTTTTTTTTTTTTTTGTCTTTTTTAGAAAGGGTCACCCCGTAGCCTCAGCTGTCCTGGAATTCACTATATAGATCAGGCTGGCCTTGAACTTGCAGAGATCCACCTGCCCCTGCCTCTCAAGTGCTGGGATTAAAGGTGTATGCCGCCATGCCCAGCAGACTTGGTGCTTTCTGAAACCTAAGTAGGTATATGGATACAAGCTAGTGATTTCCCAACTAACCTTAGTTGATCTAGACTCTCAGATTATCATGATGGTGGCCATCTTTGATGAAAAGTTGTCCCATGATCAGTCAGTAAACTCAGAGAATGGGTTTGGCTCAAAACAAAATGAAGCTGACTTCTCTAAAGTTCCCTGAGATCATAGCCATCCAGTCTGCGTCCCTTCGCATACCATGTACTGTTTCTGTAGTGCCTGCAGTAGGAATTAGGGAGCCAGGTTAAGATCCTGACCTATCGGATGTGGTTGGGTGCACGGGGGCTTGCAAGGAGACAGGCAGGGTTTTGAAATACAGAGGGCCTTTGTCACTCCTGAGGATGTTCTCCTGGGGCCTTTAGTTCCTGGTCCCCGATTGACTCCTGACATGTTTATTCAGGCTCCTAACTTGAACCTGAGTCACATGCTCTGTGGGGAGTCATGTGTTTCCTGTGCAAATCATTACTTTGTGATTATTTTTTTCCCATCAGAGAAACAATTATACAGTTGTATTTTTTTTGTGTGTGTGTGTGCATGGAGGTGTACTCGCCCATGCACGTACATGTAGCACCCAGGGGTTGACATCAGGGTGTCTTCCTCTATCAGTTTCTACCTTAGTTGTGGAGACTGGGTCTCTCGCTGAGCCTGGAGCTTGCTGTTTCAGCTGTACTGGATGGCCACTGAGTTACCCCCGCCCCCCGGGAATTCTTATGTGTGCACCCCTCCAGTGCTCAGGTTGCATGTCATCACACCTAGCTTTTACAAAGGTGCTGGGGATTTGACCTGAGAGCTTTACCTAGGGAGCCATCTCCTCAGCTCTAATGCTTGTATTTTAAAGAGTAAGAGTAGAGGTCTAAAAGCTCAGATGCTTATGCTGGGCTGGAGCTGTTACTAGCTGAGTGGTTTCCATCTTAGAGTATCTTTTAAAAAATAGATTTTATTAATTTTTTGAGACTCTCATACAATGCTACTTTGACGGTATTCACCTCCCTCTCCCCTCTCAGATCCACCCCTCCCCCCACTTGTCCCCTCCCAGATTCCTGTCCTCTTCCTGTTTTGGTTGTTTTTGGTTTTTTTGAGATAGGGTGCCACTATGTAGCCCTTGCTGGCCTCAAATTCATAGAGATCCTCCTGCTTCAGCTTCCTGCTTGCTGGGATCAAAGGGTGCACCACCAGGTTGACTTCTCCAATATGTGCTGTCCAGATACTCTTGGTGTGGGTCCATCTCCAGGTGGATCTTAAGTGAAGTAAATAACTACATATCATGAGCACAGTTAGCAGTCCTTGAATGTTAAATACCAATTGCATTCTCTATGAAACTTGAAGGTGCCGTAAGTATTTCAGATAGCATTCAATGTTTTTGTTTCTGATTTGTGTAATTAGTGTTTGTTATACTTACAGGCATTTTTAAAATCAAGGGATATGTTTGGGAGCAGATGCTGTTTTCTCAGAAACTTTTAGAATTGAATTTTGATGGTCATGAATTTCAGATGAGTTGCTTTGTAGAAACATTTGGATTACTTGTCATTATAATCCATGCCTTTTAAAAGCGTGTTAGCATCTTTTAGGCATGTTTACAGCATGACAATGTCGTTTACATACAGATAGGTACAGTGATGCTCTTCATTTTCTCCCACTCCACCACCAGCCAGGCTTGCTCGCCTCTTTTAATTAGTTGCCTGATACACAACATCAAGCCTTAATGAAATGCTATTTTTCATTAGCCTGCTTATAGGACATGTCTTAATAATGGGATGAGTGTTCTACGAGACTATAAAGGAATGTAATATAATTCATTACATGTTTCATATTTTAAATTACTTTGAGTTCATTTGTTCAATATTATGCCACACTGATTAAATATGTATTCAAACATTATTTGGAGATAAATCTTTAGTCTTTCAACCATAAGGAAGCCATAGGAATAATAAATAGGAGTTAATAAAGCCACAGGGTATGTAAATTGTCTGCTACAATATTTTATTTGATACATTTTAAATTTTAAACTGATAGTAAAGTGAGGTTAAAGATTATTGTGTGAACATGTTTAAAATATGTCCATATTAGTGATTTTAATGAATTTGAGTAGAAACAACAAGAAAATTTATAATGATTATGACTTTGTACCACCGTCAGAGTATCTCATGAGTGATTGTTTGAGGAATGGCAGACCCAAACCATAGAAATTAGAACATTCTCCTTCCATCTCACTGTAAAACATATTAACACTCTTTCTCTTTACTTAGGTACCATTTACATTTACACCATTTGCCGAAAACTGATGATCATAGGGTACTCTTCAAAGGTATGAAACATGCTGTGCTGTTTCTTTTAAGAGTTTTGTTACACCACCCAGTGAATGTTGAACAAAGGGTATTTAGGGGATATTTAACAACATCCAGCAAATATATGTGATATGTTGTTTTATTGGTCTTGATTTTACTTTAACAGTAATCATCTGTAAAAGTGTGGTCAATAAAGCATCAGTATAAAGAAAGGGAATTCCTGACACTGACAGGTGTTCTCCAGTGTCCTTGTCTATCAGAAAGCATGCTTGTCACACTCCTTGTTTTAAACATCAATCTCATTTCTAGGTAAGGGGACTGTCCATCCTGGCTGACCCAGGACAGTCTTCTTATGATAGTTGTCCTGGGCTGACTATTAATAGTACCCTCTGTCACTCTGGAAAGTGTCCTGATTTGCATGATAAATTTTGTTTATGCTATAAGGAGACTTTTATTTTTTGTGTGTTTTGTGCTATTCTCTCTCTCTCTCTCTCTCTCTCTCTCTCTCTCTTGTGCGTACATGCTAGTGTTTGTTCAGTACATGTGTATACACAAGCCAGTGAACTACTTTGGGTGTCATCCTCAGGAATGCTGGCTACCTCTTTTGAAACAGGGTCTTTCTTAGACCTGCAGCTCACCAATTGAACAGACTGGCTGGCCAGCAAGCCCCAGGAATCCTTCTAAAGATCCTGTCTCCACCTCTGCAGTCTTGGGATAGCAAGCATGCGCCATCACACCTGGCATTTTTACATGGGTTCTGGGGCTCAAACTCAGGTCCTCAGACTTGTGAGGCAAGCTCTTTCCTGACTGAGACATCTCCTCTGCCCCAGGAGACTGTAAGATTCTCAGTTACTAGGACTCAGTGCTCAGTTTTAGCATGGGGAAATTGATTTCCCTACAATGTTGGTAGCACTTTTGTCTGCAGGAGACATATTTGTTTTCTGTTTTCATTCTTCAGTCATTGGAATGTAGGCCAAGAGGGCAAATATACTCCCACTGAGACCCTGTTGGAGTTGCTGTTGGCATGTAAACTACCTGTTTTCTTTACTGCCTGTGAAAGCTTACTCTGAATACCCAAATACTCTGGAAAGACACATTTTTTTAGTGTTTCCTCAAAACATAGACAAGTATCTTAGAGCTAACAACACTTAAACAATAAAAATGGATATCAAGATATGTACATGCTCAATGGAAAGCATTCAAAGTAATTTGAACCAACTCTGAACCAGCAATTTAAGTATGTATTAAATGGAAGTAAGACTATCCCAGATACCATAATAATTTGTCCTACAGATGCTACCAGAGATGCCACTTTTAGTTTCAGTTGATTTCCTAAACAGAATTTGCATATTCGTGCTGCACTTGCTGTATCAACAAATATGGCTTCACAGAACTGTCATAGTTTGGTCTGGTATAGTGTCTGCCAAAGCTTTGAAGGCCAGAGACATCTGTGTCAACAATTGGCTATTACTGTTTGGATTTGTTAACACTGAATTTTAATTTAGTGTGATAGTCATCTTAAAATAATTTCTTATTTATAATTTATGTAGGATACCTCCTCTCCCCCTCATATAACCTGAGCTTGTCTCTGACAAAATACATGGTGAAAGAGAATGGTCGTGGCCCCAGTCCTGTGGAGGGGACTTGGGGAAATAAAGCATGCAAGAATTTTGGGGTTAGACAGTTGGCACTTGAAATCAGAAGTTGCTTCTTCCAGTTTGTTCCAGCTTAAGCTTCAAGGGAATGAATAATTTTCACCCAGAAATTCCCAAACTTCCAGAAGTTAAACTGGTTGCTGATCTGAGGTTATATATGGGTAGCTCTTAATGGAGAGAAGCCCTTGGAGATCCTACCATGTATGAGATCTGCTGGATCTCAGGGATTCTGATTCTGTACTAGCTTTGGTTGTATATGTATGTGTGTGTGTGTGTGTGTGTGTGTGTGTGTGTGTGTGTATGTGTGTGCGTGTGCCTGTGTTGCATGTATGTTTTTGTAGGTGTGTACATGCATGTACATGTGTATCTGTCTTCCTCAGTTGATCTTCACCTTATTTTTTAAGACAGGATCTCTCACTGAGCCTGCTCACCAATGTTACTAGACTGGATGGCTAGGGAACTCCAGGGATCTACCTCTGTAGCCCCATCCCCTGGCCCCAATGCTGGAGTTACAGACACTGACAACTGTGCCTGGCTTTTATATGGGTACTGGGATTAAACTCAGGTCCTCATGCTTTCATGAAAGGCACTGAAGGAGCCATCTTCCCATCTCCTGAGTTCAAGCCTATAATTGCTTAAGGCAGAAAAAAGTAGACCTGGGCTTCTTGGGCTATTAGTGTCATTCTCGGTCAACTTAAGTTCCCATCTGAGTAGAAGCTTTGCTATTATTGCTGCATCCCTACTACATTCTAGGTTCTGTGTAAAGGCCTTGAATACACAGTAATACTCAGCACAGTATTTTGAGGTAGACACTATCATTACCACCACCAGGGTCTTTGTCATCATTGTCGTCGTTGTCGTCGTTGTCATCATCATCATCGTCATCATCATGTTGACCAAGTCTTCTGGGTATTCTAAGCACGCTTGTGAATGTTCTCACTTAATCCTCACACTAGCACTTTAAGGAAGGCATTGTTATTACTCAGCTTACAGATGAGGATGTAGAGGCTGAGAAAACTAAATTTGCTCACAATAGTAGGCCTAGTCTGAGGTGGTTTGAGGCCAGTGTCACACTGTATTACTTCTCAGTCCTTTAAGAACAATGCATCTGTTCACTAAATCAGATCCTGTCATAACTTGTCCTATTTTGGTTTACCTGTTTGAAAGGAGGAGCTCTGGGAGAGAGACCTAGACTGATCCGGGGTTTTTCCTCAGATGAATTCCCCTTAAGGCAGAAGCAGCTCACCAGCCTATGCTTAAGGAATACAGGGAGATCAGATTTCTGAAACTGCTATCTCTAGCTGCATGTGACAAATTTGTTTTGGGTTACAGATAAAGTCTAGGTTCTTCTGAGGCATTTAAAACTGCAGTCTAGAACTCAACAATCATTTTAAAATGTACTAGAAAAACTATGGATTTATGCTTCATTTTTGCAGATATTTTGGTGAAGTATTTGGCTTGAGAATTATTATTGAGTCTTTCACGTTTTTACATAAACTTGAAGTCAACTTTGAGATGGCTTCGGTGTCACGGTCCTCTGTAAGCGGATGGTACTTGAGGCTGCAGCGCCACCCTGTGGCTAAGATAATTTATTGCCTGTTTTCCTACTGGTACTCGTGTTCTCGTGGGGCATAGTTTAGATACACGTACACTTCGGCTTTTTGAAGTTTTGTTTTTCTGTGAAGAAAACAGTCCTGCTGTATCCAGTCCAATTTTATTAATAGAAATAAATATTTCTAGCCCTTAAGGCTAAGAAAAATGCTATACACGAGCCCCCCCCCCCTTTTTTTTTGAAATGGCTTTTCATTTCCAAACTTGAAAGAGGGTTTTCGAGGCCCCTCTACGGATTCTGGCGAGTTTCCCTTCTTTGTCAAGGTTGCTCTGTGGAGCAGAAAGAATGCCGTGCTTAGTTCAAAGACTTGAATTCCAGTCCCTGCTCTATGTATCTCTTAGAAGCAGTTTAGACACTTGGAGTCAGATTAGGTTAGATTTAATTTCAGGTGTCTTTAGCATGAAAATTTTTGATTTTCTTTAATTCTAACTGTAAAAACCAAACCCAAGTATAATGTAAATGGAAGCTATTTTCATTTTGAAATGTGAAATTTCTAACACCAGGAGTCCTGAGGGATTTTGGAAAGACCTGCGGATTTGAAGAGTATTTACGCATGATTTCATTTCATACTCCCCAGACCACAATGATCCCAAAATAGGGTTTTTAGGGAGCGGTGGATGTGAGGGGAAAAATGAAGAGGTTTTGACGACCGTGACAAGGTTAACAAACAACCACGGCAGCAGTGGCAAAAACAACGCTGCGGCAGTGTCTGACTACCTTAGCAGGGGTGTGAACTGGAGGCTGCTTTCACTGTGGTCTACCCACAACCTTAAAATCGGACACACACCGACACCCTAGAGTGTCGCTGCGGAAGACAGGCCATGCTGGAGAAAGGAAATGGAGCTCAATAGAGACCCAGGAAATTTACCCTGGAGACAGGTCTGAGGAGGACTGTAGGCAGCTTGGGTATTTTCAGGTTCTTGGAAGGCTGTATTTTGAATGTGAGTTTTGGATTGTTTGGTATCCTTCCAGAATGCACAGCTAACACCTAGTACTGGAAGTATAGAAAGGTGGAATTTAGTTTAGATTACGAACGTATTTTTCCATGTTGAAAATTGCCTTCTGTCGCCACATGGTGTGTTCCTTGTTACTGGGGTAGGAAGACTTGGTGGGCAAGTGTTATCCAGTGGTGGTGCTAATAATGTGATGGGGGAGAAATTTTGAGTGGCTTTGGCCCTTTGAGTCTAGAATTGCTTGGAATATTTCCTTAGCTAGCATTGTGAACTGAAACTTTAGTGAAGTTCATTTTGTTAGTCAACAAATATTTATTGTGTGTCTCCTGTTTGCCAGGTACAGTGCTAGGTGCTGGGGATACAGTGATGGGGAAGACACACAAAGTCCCTCATCTAATGGGAAGAGCTTACATCCCCAGGGTGGAGGGATAGCAAAGGGTATTATAAATTCTTGTTAAACCCTCATCTGGTTCTTACAGTTTTTTCTTTGGCATTAGAATGACCAGACTTGGAGAATTCTGTCATTTCACCTTCTTCTCTGTCTTAAATTATACTTTGTAAGCTCTAAAGACAGCAAGGGAGGGGGCTGGAGAGATGGCTCAGTGGTTAAGAGCACTGGCTGCTCTTGCAGAGGACCTGGGTTCGGTTCCTAGCACCCACATGGCAGCTAATAACCATTCGTAACTCCAGTTCCAGGGGATCTGATGCCCTTTTCTGACCTCCATGGGCATTTCATGACATGGGTGTAGTTAATACATGCATGCAAACACTCATACACATAAAATAAAAATAAGTAAAAT